CCTGGGCTACATCCTCCTGCGCTGTCGCCACGCGGTGCGGCAGCGCTTCCTGCCCGGGTCTCACCGCCTGGGGCGCCACTCCGCCTTCTCTTCTAGACGCTTCCGAGAGCCGAGCCTTGGCATCTTGCTGGAGAGTTACTACGAGCACGAGGTGCGCCTGTCGCCACACGTGCTGGGCCACAGCAAAGCGCACGTGAGCCGGATTGTGGGGGAGCTGGTGCGGGCTGGCCGCACCCAGGGGTCCCCGGGCCCCATTCCCGGGGGATCACTCGCCTTGGCCTTCCGCGGAGACTTTATTCAGGTGGGCAGCGCCTATGAGCAGCATAAAATCCGTCGGCCCGACGGCTTCGACGTGCTGGTGCCTCTGCGCCTCCCACCGTCGGTGGCGCTGGAGCCTCAGAGTCTGGGCAGCGAGCCCGCGCTGGCCCCCGCCTTCCACGGCTGCTTCGTGTGCGCACTGAAGGCGCCCCCCGGGGCCTCCGCGGGCCAGTGGCTCCGGGACTGCAAACCCTTCGCGGACGGCTTCTGCGTGGACGTGCGCGGGCGGCGCCACCTCTCGGCCACACTGGTGCTTCGCTGGTTCCAGTCACACCTGCAGCGCTCCCTGGCCACGGTGCGCTACAGCCTGGAGGGGCGTTGTCGGGTCAGCCTGACCCCGGGGGGCCTGGAGCAGCCTCCCACCCTGCACATCCTGCCCTGCCGCACCGATTACGGCTGCTGCCGCCTCTCCATGGCCGTGCGTCTCATCCCCGCGGTCCATTTGGGCGACGGCGTCTTCCTCGTTGCACCACCGCCGCCACCCTCACCTGTCGGGCCCCTCGTGGAGCTACCTGGAGGCCTGCGCTCTGATGTCCTGTGGGGGGTCAACACGGCTCGCCAGGAGCAGAAGCTGCTGGGCTGGCTGCAGGAACGGGCCCCTCCAGGGGCCTGCTACCTCAAGTGCCTGCAGCTGCTTAAAGCTCTGCGAGATCTGGGCGCCCGCGGGCTGGACACGACAGCTGCCACCCAGTGGGGACGCATCCTGTCGTCATACGTGCTCAAGACGGCGCTGCTGGCGGTGCTGTTGCGAGAGGGGGGTCCTGTGCAAGACTGGGACGAGGCGCACCTGGGGGGGCGTTTGGAGGGCTTAGTACAGTTCCTTAGGGGCTGCCTGCTGCGACGCCAGACGCTCTTCCACTGCGTCCTGGGCCCCGGTGGGGCGGCTGCCGAGGTGGGCCCCCTGCCCAAGGTGCTCCGTGAAGCACCCCCTGTAGACCTGCTGGCGGCTTTCGACTGGCACGCCCGGGAATTCGCAGCTTCGCGGTTGTTGTCCACGTGGCGAAGGCTCCCCCAGCTCCTAAGGGCGTATGGGGGTCCCCGTTACCTTTCCATGTGCCCTTCACCCCGGGGTCAGCGCGCCCAGGGGTTCCCAGAAAATGAACCTTAAGCCCCGAAGAGCGCCCCCACCTGGTCTAAAAATCGTCCTAAAATCGTCCACCGGGTGGGGGTGAGGATGGCGGTGAAGCTGGTGTTAATGCCAAGAAGATGGACTCTAGAAAGTGGCGGGAGATTCGGAGGATGCTATTCAGTAGCTTAAATGTCGCTCTTGGCTCCATGCCCAGCTGGCTGTTCCAGCAAGCTCTGCAGAGAGGCTGATGACAGCACCTCAGAGCTGGTCCCAAAGAGGCTTTGGAGAAGCAAAACTAGGCACGGGAGAACTTCCCTCTGTTGGTTTCTGAGTCAGTGGTTGCTGGGTAGCCTGTAGTGACAATTATCTTTACCAAAAAAAAAAAGGGGGGGGGGAGGGTGGACCTGAATCTTTATCTACAACTGGAACTGAAATTCTATTCTAGGGGCTGATGTTCTGAGAAGTACAGTTTCCACCATTCAGATTAATATTAATGTATGTTGCAAGTGGTGATTGACAGGGTGGGGAAGAATTAAGTCTCCCCTGCTGAGAGGCAATCCAGAATTTGTTAGAGAAACTTCAGCACAACTAGTACCTTATTTTGATCAGATCTTTCCTTTCGTGATAGTTGCTTGTGCCAAGTATTGCGTCTGAAAGGGAGACCAGTTGCAGGCAGCTGCAGACTGGAAAAGTGAGCTTGCTTCATGTCCCTTTAGGTGCCAGCATGGTGGGTCTGGAGATTTCAGCCTTTGCTGCTCAAGACGTTTCTCCAGGGCTTACTGCCGGCTGGGCACAACCTGTTTTGCTTTAAGGCTTTGAGCAAACTCCTGTGCGCGGAGTTCTTTCTACATTTAATGAGATAAGGAGGTGGAACCGCTACTGCGGCACCTGGCATGTAGTTGGCGCTCTCAGGTCAATGAGCAGTGGTCTCAGGTGGAAAGTGTCTGTCCCATTGCCCCAGTGACCTGTAAAGGGTCCTAGGAGGCCGACTTTGAGGAGCGGTTGAGTCAGCTGCTCAGGTGCAGGTCTTAGAAAGCATTTAACTTCCAAGTGGGTACTTGCTTCATGATCAGTAACTCCTCAGCCCCAGCACAGGAGAAATAGGCTCCTTTTTCTCTTTGGGCATAAATACCACCAAGTTGGGATGTTTTGCTGCCAGGAAGCCATTCTGATGTCCTTCCTTATTCCTCTAAATTTCCGACAGGCCTCCCCTGCGCCATTCCCCTTAAAACTCACCTGAAGTTACAGCAGTCCTCTCTCCCCTTGACATGGGAATGGCAGCAGACCCCATTACACCTTGGGATTTTTTTTTTTTTAAATAAAGCATATGTATGCCCTTAGAGTCTTAAAGGTAAACCCGGGGATAGCAATAGCTATGTGAATAAGGCCACTGTTTTAATTTCTCCAGCTAGTCTGAGGAACACTATAAACTTTTTTCTTTAGGGGACTGACTTGGCACCTCAGGAAATCATTGGGAATAGTTGACTTCCAGGGAATCTTCTCTTGGGAGCGGCAGAGACTCCTTTGTGCTTAGCGACTCAGGCCTCTGCCATTTGTGCTGCGTCTTTGAGGTGGTGTTGGGGATAGTTTCCCTGGAGCCCACAAAGGTCACTCTAGTTCTTGAAGTCACTGTTAGGTCATGAAGTACAGAATTTAGCAAAGGGGTCCTGCAAAGACATAAACTGCACAGACATAAACTGCTTCCTGCAAAGACATAAACTGCACAGTGTTTATAAAAGTTATTTTTAAAAGAAATGCCAAGAATAAGCCGATCTCTATATGTGTATATAATGTTTCCATACTCTGCCACCACTTTTGGGAGTCACTCAGCCTGCCAGAGTGGGGTGCAGTGAGGCTGTCTAGGATTATAAAGCTTTCACAGCTGAATTTGCCAAATATTTCTGGCTAGTTTGATAGGTTCCTTTTTTAACCTTAATTGTATTTTGAGGTTTAAATCTGGTAACAGACTATTCTTGTAGGTTTGTTTTTTTTAGGTTAATTTCCCCAAATCTCATCCATCCTCAAGATTTTTAATTTTTTTTTAATTACTGGGGCATTGTGTTTGTGAATTTTTAACATATGAATGTTTTATTTAAATGCCATGCTAAGCAATTGTTCTCTGCACGTGGTAACCAAAACCTAATGATTTCGATCAATTTTGATCAATGTTTAATAATCCAAAACATGTACTGTGTACAAATGAAATAATATGGCATTTTTGCCGGGTGTGATGAGTGCCCGAGGCACTTATTAAACTCAATCCTGTATTTTATTAGGGCCTCATCATATCCTTGATCTGAAATGTACACATTTTTAGTGTATACTTGGTACTGGAGATTCTTATATGCAATATTCTTTTACAAGAAGGCTCAAAATTACTCAGATGAAAAAAATAAATAAATAAATTGTCCAGCCAGTACCCACAAAAAAAAAAAAAAAATGGTTTGGGGCGATGACTCAGCCATTTTGCCCCAAACACCCTTCAGTAACTCCCACTGACCAGTCTTGGGAGCCGTGCTGGAATGTTCGTGGGCTGAGAGAAGATTTTATTTTATTTTATTTTATTTTATTTTATTTTATTTTATTTTATTTTATTTTATTTTATTTTGCAAAATGAAACTGAAGCTGAAAGAAGGAGAATGCAAGCAAACTGAGAGAGGTCTGAAGGATTCAGGAAGGAGGATTTAAGATGGAAATGGAAGGAAGAACTGTGGAGAAGGAGGATGGAATGTAAATCATGAGGGTGTGAGAGAGGTTTGGGCTAGGAAACAGTTTTTAGATTTGTGCTCTTTCAAACAAGGGGTCGCCAACTCAGCAGCCCGCAGAAGCAAGGTGGGAGGTGAATAAGGGCAGGGTGAGTCTGGCCACTGTGCCTATGTTGAGGGGCACCGCCATTGCCAGGCTCCATGCGGGGAGTAGGGGTGGGAAGGGGAAGAAAAACGGAACTTAAAAAAAGATCTTAGAGGAATTTTTAACTGTTCAAAGCATCATGTGGGCCAAACAAAACATTTTATTGAGCTTGGGGGCTACCAGTTTGCGACTCCTGCCTTACATAGTTAACCTCCCCCCAAGTGTTTATAAGGCTCTACTTATTAGGGCTAAGAGCGCTTATATATAGTTGGGGTGTGGTATTTTAAGTCTTCTTTATCTCTCATAGGTAAGCTTTCTTGTAACAACAACTAAAAAAAAAAAAAAATTAACACTGCCACAGATAACATTAACTCAGTTTCTGAAGAACCCTCCATTCTGGAACCTTCTAAGAGTCAGATCAAATCACCAATGCTTGGCATTTCCTTCCTGGTGAATTGGGGCCAAACTCCTTGGCCCTGTCAGAGTTTGCGATGAGTAATCAGGAAGGATTGCAGAATAACTTGTTTTTTCTTTGTATTTCATCTTTTAAAAATGTGTTCGTAGTATCCTAACCAGTGACCTGGCCACGGTGGCTGGTGGGCTCGAACCCCAGGGTAAGCTGCTGGGTCTGGAACCAAAAACACTCTTCAGATGTTCCTACCCCTTTCTGACTCCGTGACTTCCACCAACATACCTGTGCATACCCCAGGATGCTTCCACAGCATCTCTTTTAACCTCCAGGGGTGAGTCACTTTGGTTGTCGAGTGGGCTTTGGCCTTGTCATGGTGACTTCACCCACAGGAGGGAGGCCGTTCCTTCATCAGCATGCCAGAGCACCCTGAGAGGGAAGCAAGTTCAGTGTTATCCTCGTGGTGTTTGTTAATTTTTTTAAGAATCAGCTGTTACTTAGACACTACCCCTCATTCTTTCTGTCTACACAGCACCTGACTGGGTGCAGATAAAGCAAGTATGGGTGGGGGAGGTACCAAAAACATGGCTGTGTGTGGAGAGAATAGACTGAAATAGGCAGCCTGAGGATGTATCATCAGGACTTTGAAGTGTCAGGGATGCTTCTAGCACATTTCATGTCAAAAAGAAAAAAAAAAAAGTGCCTTGATTCGGTCACTTGATTTTAAAACATTCCTCTTATTTGATGGCTATTTTTAACATGTACTCTGACCCCCACATTGTGTGGTACCCTGTGGTCTGCACCAATGTCACAGGATTGATTTTGCTCCAGTAACAGAGACCAAAGAGTTCATCCAATCTGGGTTGGCTGCTACAGTTGTGAGTCTCAGGTGTTGCCATTGTACCAGGTTTCCTGGGCCCAGACACCGAGGCCTCCTGTCTATTTCTGTTTCAGGTTGGAGTAAATTTGCACTTTTAATCGTATGGGTCATTCAGGGACCTTGATCTTTTATACTTGCTTTATTAATAAAGGAAGTTTCAGAAACCTCTGGACTGATGGTGAGATTTGCGGAGTCCCCTCAGTGGCCTGCCTGGCCACAGCTCCTTCTGTAACTCTCCTCCTCGAAGAGTCTGGATGTGCACAGCCCCGGGGGGACTGTCCACTGGACCTTACTCTGGCCACGGGAGGGAGAGAAGCCAGGTGGCAGCTCTGTGAGCCTGTAGCCTGGGCCCAGGCTTGGAGTCTATTTCGTGGCCTAGAACCTTCTTCTCCTGCTCCGCCTCTCCACCTCCCACCTCCGTACCTGTCCCTCCCCCCTTAAATTCTCCACTCCCACACACCACCCCAAACACAATTCAAGTCTTGGCCTGTGGCTAATTTTATAGCTCAAGAATTTTGCCCAGAAATCTCTTAGGCCCTCCAGCCTTCTCAAAAGAGTAAACATTGGCTCACAGGAAAACTCAGACACACAGTAAGAGATAGAATCTGGGAGACCGTGTAGGACTCTTCAAAGCCTTGGAGCGAGGTACAAGTCTGGGGAACCTGCAGCCACAGGTTCCCCTTTGCCCAGGGGAAAAGCAGTGGGGTGTGTTATGGTTGGTTGTCAACACGTAGCTACTGAGTGATTGCTACTCCCGGGCATTGAGGACACACAGAGATGGTCACGGCAGATGTGGTCACTCGTGAGCTCACTGATTGTGGGAGGCAGGCGACTGAAGAAGTTGTTTCCATACAGCATGGTGTATGTTCAGTGGGGGAAGGGTTCTGAAAGCACCCCATGCAATTCAGTCTGGGAGGGCTGCCTGGAAGAAGTGGTATCTCTGTTGAAGTCAGACAGGTAGAATCTGCTCAGGGAAGGGTTTGTGCCAGAGAATACATCCAGTTTGGAGGTGAGAGTGGATGTGAGCAAGAGGAAGGAGGCTCAGTGGCAGAGGTCAATGCCGTGAGAGAGAGGACACCGTTTACTCCGTGCTGAAACACACTCTGGCTCTTTACAGAAAATGTTGGCTGGAACCATCAGGCTGGAAGTCACAGAAGCTACTGTGGTCCAGACCTGGGCAGGGACTTGAAGTGGGGACAGAGACAGGTCACAGTATCATGGTGCTTTAGCACCCTGGGCCTGTCTTTAAGTCTGTGTCTCTGCAATTCACCTCATCCTCTCTGAACTTCAATTCCCTCATCTGTAAAATGGGACTAATAATAGAACCTCCCTCTGGGGGTGACTGAAGAGTAAGTGACTCTTGCAAAGTGCGTGGCCTGTCTTCAGCTCCGGGTATCTCCATCCTTGAATGTGTTGTTTTAGTCAGTAACGTTCTGATAGAACGTTGATGAGAAGGAAGCTATCCCGGCCAATGTTGCGTGCAGTGATGCCATGGAGACCTTTTTCCACCAGATGTCATTTTGCTTCCAGTAGACGTTTCCCGGAACCAACTGACACCATGAAGTGAGGAATTGCAGCAACTTTCAGCATAGGGGTGACCTTGGGAAGGCAGTTTCACTTAGTTGTGTCTCCAGCCTTTTCCTTTGTCGTCTTCGAGTGTCCCCCAACCCGGCCCAGGGTCTGTTTCCCCATTGTCTCCCCAGCCAACCCTCTGCCACCCAGATGGCGTCTGTTTCTCAATGCACACTGTGTCTTCTGCTAATCTCTCACGCGGGGCACCGAGGTGAGAGATGTAGCAAAAAGAGCTCCTGTTCTCTAACCATCCCTACACCTTTGTCCTTTGGAGGGTGACCTTGCAGTCTCACCCTCAAGAAGGGGGGCCTTTTCACCCACCCTGAAACTGGAGTGTCTTCGCGACTTGCTACAGTCCGTAGGATGCGGCAGAAGAGAGAGTGTCGCGTGCTGGCTGAGGCCTCCGTATGCCCCGTGTGCTTCCAACTGTCCTCTTGGGAGCCAGCTGGGGCGAACAGCCACCTCGCTGGAGGAGGAGACCAGAGCTGATGGCTAGTCACCGACAAGACTCACTCATGAGCCCATCCCAGACCAGCCCCCCACCCACCCGGCCACTCCTGGTATGGTTGTGTGAGGCCCTACACTCTGGGTGATAACAGGCACTCATTATCTTAAGCCACTGAGTTAGTGGCAATTTGTTGCTCTGTTAACTGATTTGGAAGTTCAGGAAAAAATCAGGCCCTCAGAGATGCAGCTGGATCGAACACGTTTGACTTTCCAACAGCCAAGCTTTGAAGCAAGTGGTTGGCTGACACCCCAAAGCCTCTTTCCCAGAGTGAATCCAGGTTTCCCTCACTGGGGAGGCAGGGGGTTGGGAGGTCAGCCCACCTCTGAGGCTGGCTGTGGCCATCTCCCGGCAGTGTTTATGAAGCTGGTAGGCTATGTGCTGCGTTTGCCTTTGTCATGTAAAAACAAATGGAAGCTGGGAAAAGAAAGTGCTGATTAAGGTGGCAGATACCCAGGTCTCGAAGGTGGTACACTTAAGACTTGATCTGGATGCCCAACTACCTAAATTCCAGCCAGCTGGAGGCTTAGCTAGGGGCAGCAAGTTCAGTATTGGAGGCTAAGAGTCGTAGGAAGCTGTATCAGTTAGGAATACATTTGGCCACAGTTGATAAAAAAAAAACTACAGTGTCTTTAAAAAGTAGGGACTTACTTTTCCTCATCAGCCAGCAGGCTACAGGTAGGCAGCTAGCAATTTAGGGAAAATCAGGCATCTTTTGCTCTACAGATCTGGATGTTTACTTTTATCTTTATTCTTGCCATGCAAAGACCCCCCCACACACACACACACAATGGCAATTACAGGCTTGGGGAGTGGCCTCAGGGGTGCAGTAGACTTCCTCTTACATTTCATCACGTGACCTAGCTGCAAGAGAAGCTGGGAAAGAGCTGGGCAAGTGTCACACAGCTGCTCTGAACAAATTATGAAGGAAGGACGGGGTGTTTGTGGGTAAATAAGATTCTGCCACAGTAAAGCTAGGAATAAATAGCAGAAGTCTGTGTCGAGGAAGTGAGAATTAGGGAATTTGTAATTCCATAATTATATAATTTATACTTGCCTATGTTGTTGTGTATAGCTAGTGCTCTATAAATATTAGGATGGAAGTCCCAGTTCTACCACTGGTGGAATCTTCTGGGCAAGTCAGCTCACTGGTCTCATTTGCAAAATGAGGATGATAGTCCCTCCTTTTCTAGGTCTGTTGGGAGAGCCAAAGAGTGGTGCCCTTGAAGCTGAGGAACACTGAACAGATGTTAGCTGGGGTCTCTTAGTAGTCATGCTTGGGAACGACAAAAGGGTGAGTCCCTTTCTTAAGAGGGGGTTCACCCTGGTCCCCTGCCATCACCAGACTTCCTTCCACAGCAGAGTGAGTGATTCTGCAGTTGTAAATACTTGCCATATGTTTTCCCAGAAGAAAGGACCCCCAGTAAAAGGATCAACTCCTTCCATATCTCATGCTTGCTCCTAAAGTGTGTCATCTATATTCTCCCATTTCCCTTCTTGATGTAATTTGATTTTCATCACTTGAGTGCCAGGCTTGTGGTTCTCAATCCTGGCCCATAATCGAACATGAGGAGCTTTGAGACATTACCCGTGCTCAGGACTCTGCCCTGGCCCGAGGAGGACAGGAAGCTGAGGTGGGCAGCCCAGGCACGGGTTCTTTCTACAGCTCCTGGGTGATGTTGGAGGTTAGCTGCCAACCGTAGGTCAGTAGGCCCCTTCAGGAAGCTTTCATGGAGAAGCTGTTATCTCCCCACCAGGTACTGTTGTATCCATCAGCTGGTTTGTGGGTGTTGCTGGGTGGCAGAGACAGACTACGAAGGTAGAGTGGTGGGGGTAGTGGAATAAAGTCTGAAGAGGGAACTCTTCAGTGGAAAGACAGAAAAGGCAAACTATCATGGCTAAGCAGGCATGATCCTCCAGGATCAAGTCTCCAGCCCAGGGAAAAGGAAACAATAAAATGTGTGTGTGTGTGTGTGTGTGTGTGTGTGTGTGTGTGTGTGTGTGTGTGTGAAAGTCTTCAGGGTCATTCTGAAACTTCTCAGCAAAGGAAAAGTGCTTTATCCAGAGGGACAGTGCCCGCATTCTCTGAGCCTTCTCGCCTGGGGAGAACACGAATCATATGTTGTCGTCTGCACAAAATGCTCTCTCCTCATGAATTGGCAATGCTTTTGCCCACACTGTCTCAATCTCCTCCCTCCTGCCCACCCCTCTAAATGGGGCGACTTAGAGCTGGCACTTAAAAACAATTAAAGTCCATCAAGTTCTCTCCAAAGAGGCAGGGAGAAGAATTGGGAGCCCTACCAAAAATTTAGTCAAACTAAAAGCTTTTAAGGACTGTATCTCATCAAAAGATTCTTATCTTCCTGGTTTATTTAGTTACCAATGTCCTGGAATCAGGAGCCTGCCTCTGATAGGTGACCTTTGATTCTTATCAAATGAAACCATTTAGCATGTAGTTCAGCCAGAGTCAGAGATGGTTTCTGGAAATGGGCTTTCTCAGGATCTTGATGGTTGAGAAACTACAGGCTGAGAACACCATGCAATATTTGAGGGACGCAGCTTTCATGGCCCGAGTTGTGATGGTGGATTATTTCCTCTCCGACAAATACCTGGTTTTTGAAAGCAGTCTCATTAGTGGGGACCTTACTTCCCATGTCTTCAAAATGCATTTCTACTAACCCCAGACCCCGGAAACCGGCCAAGAGGTCAGAGACCTTCCTGTGTGTGCACAGGGTCTGCTTGTTGAATATCTTTGTGCGACCTAATAGCTCCTATTCCCCAGCCCCATGTAGGGAAAGACACGTGACTGGGGCTGACCTATGGGCAGGTGCAGAAGGGCCTGGTGTGTGATCTTGCAGAGGTGTGAAGGTGGCCAGGTGTGAATCTGGCAGCTCCTGAGATGCTGTCGAGTCACTACAAAGACAGCAGCTGCCTGTGACAGTCACGGGACTCATGCTGGCCTTCACCTGCGTGAGGAAAACATTCGTGTGACATTAAGCCTCTAAATGAGGTACTGGGACTCTGTTACTGCAGCACTGCACAGCCTAGCCTAACTAATGCAACTGGGTGTTGGAAGGG